CACTCTGACATGTCGAGCTCCAAACAACAAGTTCATAGTTGTGAACTGGAGCAGAGCTGATCTGGGAGAAGAATATGTGCTCTTGTACCGGGACGAGCACTTTGATACCACCAAGCAGCATCCATCTTTTAAGAAGCGGGTGGCTCTGCAGGACAGACACATGAAGGATGGAGACGTGTCTCTGAATCTGGAGAATGTGACGACTGCGGATGCTGGAACGTACGAGTGTCGCATCTTCATAGAAGAAACACGCTCGTGGGAATCTATCTGCACCTCACACCTGTTTCTGCAAGAAGATCAACCAGGAGGACTGAGAGGGGACGGAGTCAGAAGAGGACGTGCTGGACTGATAGCGAGCGCGTCACTTTGTGTTGTGCTTGTTGTTGTTGTTGTTGCTTTTCTGATCTACAGAAAACATGGACAGAGTCAGGATTCAGAGCGTCCTCCTGCTGAACTGCAGACTGTCTGAAATGTCTCAGAGCGTTTTGCAGATGAACTTTGAGTCTCCTGCTGCTGAGCAGAGACAGACAGCATTCAGCAACACTCCACACAGACCACTGATTTCACTCTGACACTACAGGAAGGACTTCATCATCCTGCGGGCTGACGAGTACATTTACTGCAAATATTGTTTCCCCTATTGTCCATGAGACTGACCAATAGGAGCAGAAAGTACTCAGCTGAGCCAAACTTTAAGCAGCTGTTACTGAACCCAGCCTCAGTGAGAATGAACTGTTCTGTCCAACACAAGCTTCATGTTGGAAACATCAGCAGGTCTCTTCTCTGACTCAGTCCAGCTGATTATTGGTCTTTGCAGGCTGATAATCCCGATGTTTCTACACTAATGTGTAAAACATCAGTTTCTTGGTATATAAGTTTCAGATTATTATTTATTTGTACCACTTTGTTATTTTCCATTTTAAAGGATTCAATAACTGTCAGATAACCCAGGAAATTACACGAACGTGTCAGTGTGCAGCAGTTATTAGTTTCATTGTGTTCTCTGTTGTGAGTTGTAAAGATTTAAAGCAGAATATATTGTTGTAAATGATTATTTGTGGATTATCAAATTTTTCTTCAAGATAAAGTCAAATGTAACTAAAGTATTAGACAAACTGCAGCAACTCCTTTAGGAATACTTTCACATCCTGATGTAAAAGTTGTGTTTTTAAATCAGATATGAATGGTTGAGACACTTATGATGCACATTTGCTGATGAATGCAGCTTGAAGCTTTGATGAGACTCTTTCATTACTTGTTTAGGATTTTATTCATGTTTTTCATTCAAAATGTAAAAGAATAAAGAGAATAAATGTGACAATCATCACTTGATTGGTCTGCTTCTGCTTCATGTGTTATTTTTTGTTGTCTTTGTTAGCACCCTTAATGCTTGGGGTCGATTCTGTAGGAGTCAATTTGAAAATTGTTTTCTGATTTTCCAGAAAAACTACTTTAAACCAAGTGCTCCTTGAGATATCTTTGTCTAATAATTACGTTTATCTGATGTTCCGAACAATGTAAATGTATAAAAAAGAAAATTTTTTTTAAAAGAACTGTGGAAATGGGGGAATACTTTTCAAAACAACTGTTCTCCACCGACTGTAGTGGATCGTCACACAGGGACAGGTACCCACTAATCATGACTCATGCTTTCAGGTGGATTGAGATATTTGGGATGTTCCTGGGGGTTGGTAATATATATTAAAAAGGAAAACCCACC